TCTGCAGACGACAGAAAGAAGACAGCAACTTGTTCCCTCAAGTTTTTATCCTGAGGGAACAAATTACCTTTTTGAAGGAAAAAGTTATCTTGACTGAACAAGTTGTTAACCTGTTTTAAAGAATTATTTATTTAAGGGCTAAGTTGTACTTCTTGAAGGAACAAATTCATATTCAGAAGGAACAAGGAGAAACTCGTTCATTGTGTTGAGAGAACAAATTTTTATCTTGTGGGAAAAGATAAAAATTTCCTTGTTTTTTTGAGGGAACAATTTGTAATCAGAATGAAACTTTTTTTCCTTTTAGGAAACTATTATACTTAAGAGTATGGAAGAAGCCACCGTCTTAACCTGTCATTGCTACATTATTTTTGTGGGCAGAAATGAATCTTGTTTCCATGCGATCAGACCAGGTTTATTAGCTTGTTTCAGGAGTGATAAGGTCTTACTTGATCTTGGAGTTGTGGGAGGCGGTGCCTCTTGGTGCCTGTTTGAGCCTCTCATACTCCTTGTAGCTGCGGTAGTACTGCTGGATGAGGACGGCGGCCCGCCGGCTCTGCTGGAAACGCTTCTGCTCGTAGTACGACCTGAACTTGGACTGGATCAAGATGGCTGCCTGGGTCATCTTCTTATAGAGAGCGTACTGAGGAGGCAAACGGAGTGTTAGAGTTCGTACAGAAGAAACAGTGTTTAGAGAAACTGACGGAGAGATGATCCATCATCCGTTTTCTGTTTGATGTCGTCACTCTGGTGAACCTCAAATACCGTACCTCAGTTCAGGACTCTTTATAAATCTGACTTTCTTTTTGTTTTACTCAGTGCTGTCAGCATCAGCTCGCTAACGGAGATTTGCCGCATTAATGCGGTTATGGCGTTAACGTCATTTTAACGCGATTAACGCTGACAGCACTTGTTTTCTGTTTTCCATTTCGCCCATTTAACCTCTGAGCAGAGTTTAACCATGTTTTTTAAGATGTTCATGTTGGGCATAAACTTAATCTCAGTTTTACTTTCACAGTAATAGTAAAAGTTTATCCCGCTATGAACTCAATATCTCGATGAACATAACTTGCTGGGACTATCTTACATTGCTTTTGCCACTGAAAGAGAAGGGAACATATTTGCTGTTTTACACTGTCAAAGGTGATTTTTTTTT